TCTAATCCTGCACGTGGAACGTTGGCACTACCCCATCTCTCTGCTATTCTCAAGGTACTATACATTGGTATAGTATGCGTGTGCCGTTGCGTCTCTCTCTCTCCTCTCTGCTCTCGATCTCTCTCTCTCTTTCTCGGTGATACGAAGAGGTCTTTCCTCGCTCTCTGGTCTCTCTCTCATCTCATCGCCCTCTCTTCTCTCTCTCTTTCTCTCTCGCGCTCATCTCATCTCCTTTCTCTCTTCTCTGTAGGCCGGGGGGGGGGTGCGGTGCGTGCGCGTCTGTATTTGTATTTGTGTCTTGGTTGTTTGTGTGTAAGCTATCTAAAAATTATATGCCTGCCAATGCAGGGCGGTTGAGGTATATTTATTCACATAACGATTATGCGCTTTTATATCTATATCAATTGGCAGTTTGTACAGGGTCAGCGGAAAACCTGGCAAGCCGCCCGCTAAAGGCAGCTCAAGGCGCCAGGGTCAGGGGGCAGGGCTTCAGGGTTATGCGGTAGGGGTAGGGTTAGGGGTAAGTAGAGGTAAGAAGCCTGAATTTGACAATTTGAGCCTTTTTCAATTGTACATTTAAGCGTGCCTGTGCCTGTGCCGCGTGAGCGTATAATTGCGCTTGTGTCTGGAGGAAGGGTGCGTAAGCGTGTGGCGTAAGCGTGTGGCGGCTGCAAGCATTGGGTAAGTAGACATGGCGGCGTGTTCAACTATTGTGGCAATGCCTTGATAATCATCTGCAAGCAATCTTGGAAACCAGGCGCGACCGCAGACTGAGGTTAACTTTGGCTGGTGTTAGCTTCCTGCCATCTACTGTTGTTAGCAGGAGAATACGGTATACACAGAATTGCGAGATTGTTAAGTTGGTGCAGTGTTGGTTTTTGCGCTTAGCCGTTATAACGCAATACGGGACAGATGTTTTATAAAATGTGAATGTGTTTTTTCAATATTGAGTGGTGTGTGTGTGTGATGGTGGTGGTGTGTGTGTGTGTGTGTGTTCTGTGTGGGGAGGCGCCGCCTGATTGGTCCCGCTGCTAGGAGGACCTGATTGGTCCGCTGAATAGGACGCCCTGATGCTGGTTGC